CTTTATTCTCTGAAGTATCTGTCTCAAACCACAACCCAGCCCTTAGAACTAGCAATTAGCCAAGTATTTCTTTTACACAATCTGAAGATCCTTCAGGGAGGCAGTGCCCAGTTGCAGCACTGGTGCCAGTGGCTGCTACTCTGGCAGGCCAGGAGCCTTCCTACCCCTGGGCACCACACCATGAGCACGTCTAAAATGCGCTGCAGGGCAGACAGCAGCAGGAGGGCCAACAATTGGGGGCTGCCTACTTTCACTTAGTCAATCTTTTACAAAACAAAAAGATAGAAGTAGTATTAAGGTGCACAGAATTCTCAGACAGAAGCTGTCCAGAATGAATATCCTAAAATACAGCCTGGTTTGCAGTGATTAAAAAATAAATAAATAAATAAATAAATAATAAGATTATCAGTCTGAGCAGACAAACAGCATAAAAATTCAATTCTAAAGCAGGGATACAGAAAAGTGTAGTGAGGTGAGAAGAAGATTAATAGGGAGTTACTGATCACTCTTCAGTACTGGGAGCAATCAAACGTACCTGGCAGGCAGCATGTTGAAGCAATACTGTTTGAAACACTACAGACAGGGCTAGCATGGTCATTAGTCTCAGTTCCCCACATTTGCAAGTGCAGGGAAGCTGTTCTTTCCCTGGCATAAAACCAGTCAGACACTAAGGACTGAGAACAGGCAGACAGTGCCAAAGCTCAGATCTATCCAGCCCAATGGTCCGAGCCAACAACAGCCCCACGCTGAGTGCAACCCGCTATACTGTAAAGTGTGCTTCTCAGAACACCCTTCCAAGCTCCCACATGCTGCAGGGTTGGGGTTCTTGCAGGCATGGCTGGTAGCTTTGGAGTTAACAGGTCTCTGTTACAACTTGGCTGTCCTGTCCATACAGGCTGAGCTGCCATCCAGTCTGACAGGCAGAGGCTGTGAGGTTGCAATCAAGTCTGATCAGAGAAACAGATTCTTTGGTGACTTTGTCTCCTACCAGTTTGTAGGTCATCCCACCCTCCTATATCACTCAAAGGTCAAGTTCGTTCTACCTTCACCCTATGTTCCCCATTTACCTTGCATGCATTTGCTCTCATCCTTTCTAAATAAATGCAATCTTCTCCTTTTATTGTAGTTGCTGTTCCAATGCAGAGAAATGACTGTACCGTTCATTTACCAGCAAACCATCAAGCCATAATTGTTTTGGTATTTCTTTTTCAGTAAAAGCGTCCAGGTGCTTAATGACTTTCATTTTAATCCAAGCATTCATGCAAAAGTTTTCTGTGCTTATTCACATGAGTTTCTCTGTAACATACACTGTTGATTTCTCCTCCAAAAAAACCAAGATAACTACTTTGTAAGCAGAGAATCTTTTATAACATACAACACAAAGTCTGTTTTCCTCAGCTTCAATTTCTTGTAACTCATTTTTCCTCAGTCATTTTGGCTGTTGATGTCAGCTTGCCACTGAACAAGAAGATTTATTAAAAAATGAATTGCATTCTGTACATTCTAGCTGCCTATTTCATGAAATTATGAAAAAGCAAGGCTAGATTTCTAGCTTTCCTGAATTCCTTTATTTAATAACCAACACTCTTGCAACAAGGGCCTTCAGGATAATGTACCTCAGGGAGAAGTGTAATAGAGTAACACAACAGACTTGGAAGTCACATGTGGCAGTGGACAGCAGCAAGTGAAAATTGGTGTCATATGATGCTTCTTTTATGCTTCATGACAAGTGAGTTGCCTATTTTGTGACAGGTGGGTTTTTTTGTTTCAACTAAAACAAATTTAGATCTGGTTGGCAGCTTTGCCAAAGAAGGTTCTGCCTATTCATGTTAATGAAGAAAGGCAGGAAGGCTGAGTAAAAAAATCTTTAATTAATACCGAAACACAGAGTGAAATGTAGGTCACTCTTACTAACCATGTTGGGAGCACCAGCTGTGTGTTTCTGCAGAACAGTTTGTCAGTCAAGGGTTCTTACCAGATCAAATATTGAGTTAAGGGAAATATAAGAATGAGGAAGCTGCCACTGAATGCAAGTAATAACCAAGCAAATGAACTTGGAAATGTCCCAAGTGGAACTGAGGAAGGTGCAGCATTTTAATACTACCATATCAATATTATGAATGGACTAGTGTTTGTAGGGGGAAATGTGTTTTAGTAGAACGGGCATTTACTACACTAGGTAGAAACAGCTCAATAAAAAATACACCATTAAGATAAAATCCTCTAGGATTCTGTGTAATATCAACCCAGCTGTGCAGTTTGTCAGTACCCCATATTCCATAGGAAGAGTCATTTCTAGTAAGAGTTAGATCTCTCAAGGAGGATAAGGATCCCAGTATACCAGGATTAGAGTCCAGAAAGTAGTGTACAGGCAGTACCACTGCATAGCCACCTTTTATACTGAAGAGCTGACTAAATGCCAACCACAGGGGTTAAATCCAAACCCAACAGCACATGTGTGTGACATCTAGAGGTGTGGGTTACAGTGTGTACAGAGAATTTACTTGACCCTCTTGCTATAGCACCATAGCAAAACAGAATTATTCTGCCTATCATATAAAATCAAAAGATAGTGACTATTCCATGTGAAGCTGGAACGAGACTTCTGTATGGACTTTGTATTGAAGAAGCCCAGAGCAGCCTCAGACAAACTGAATTTCTGAGCAGTATGACAGACTTCTACATAAACTAGAATGGCTATCTTGATCAAAAGAATTTATGTCAGGATTTTTCCAGGAAAACACTGAGCCAGCTTCTTCCATCTTTCCAGAAACATTTTTATATCTGACCATATCCTTTACTCTATCTGAGAATATGCAGTACTTTGCCCTTGGATATAAGATAAATTGCTCTTTTTTACCAGTACTTTTAAAAATGAAAACACCATTTTACCAGTAAAAAACCAACTATGTAAGTGTTGTCACCCACTAAGACTTATTTTGATAGGACTACTTACATTTCTTAATATATATATTCCATAAAAATAAAACCATCACAGGATTGATTCCCACAGAAAGTGAACAATAGATGTTTTTATGACAGTTACACTCAGGAGTTCTGCAGAACCACTCCCACCTGAAGTGCCTATGAATTACAAAGGATACGTGCAGTATTAGAGTGGTTTAAGAGGTTTATCTACAGACACAGACTCAAATAAGTAGTGCCTAAAATGCAAGAACTCTGTCAGATCTGAATCATTAGACAGTGTGCTACAAGCTTTAACTGGTGTTCTACGGGTCTAAGAAGGTTTAGAACCTCCAGGTTATGCAAGTTTCTGGAAACATTATATGCATCTTGACTTGCTACCTCATTGTCTAGCTTAAAGGCTCTCCAAGACTTCCTCCACTTTCTGTTCTCCTAAGAAGATCTGACAAGTTGCTTTTACTTCAAGTCCCAGGTTTGTGGGCTGGAGTAACCAAAATGGAGGTAAGACTTGGGCACTCAGACACTCAAAATAAAGGTGAACATTTTCACTTGCTTTCTCACACAGAGGTGCACTGTTGTCAGGAGACTGCCAGAGCACACCAGGCTCAGTCTTCCTGCAGATGCTGCTCTTTGAGTGAGTCTGGCATGGAACCAAAAAGATAATCTCCTAGCATTTTCAACACTACAAAACAAAATTGTACAATTATCCTAGCCCAATCTTAATTTGTGAGTAAGTCTGGACCAATTTCATCTTCTGACACTTATTATCGAACCATTCCAAACACTTCTGAAAAATTGTAATCCAACAGAATTCAAAATGGCACAAAACATTAAATATTCTCGGTATGCCAAACACAGCTTGTATTTTCAGAATCATTCTAGCTGACTTTCATGCACAGAAAAACATGCATTACATGCATATTTTGTGTGCCACAATATACTGGAATCAAACACAATAAACACTTCCTGAACTTTGTCAGGAGGTTAGTAAGCAGGTAATAGGCATTGAGAACAGCTTGCATAAGACTTAATGTTTCTTATAAACATTTTTTGTGCACTAGGTACATTCTCAACAATGTTAAGATGTTTTTTCTTTGCATTTACAGGGCTTTTAAAATTTTTATTATTTCTAATACAACTTTTCTGTGGAGATGCACAATCAAGCATAAGCTAGCTGTAAACTGTTGTGCTGAGATACCAATCCAAATAAATGTGAGGTGATAAAGTGACTGATAAAGTGACTTAAAGGGCTAGTGGGGTAGAGCAGATCACCAGCAAACAGTATAGCACATCACCTTCATTGGCTATAACTGTCACACTCCAGACATATCATAGTGGGCCAGGCTACATGTGAGCAGCTCAGAGCATGCTTTACCCTAGTGAATTTTGCTACATAGCAGCACTTCTACAGCAGCAAGAAGCTGAATGAGTCCAGTAGCTACAGAAATACATACTATGTAGACTATAAAAGGCTGGTTGGATATCTCTGTATGACAAGCACCTAAAGATGAAAATAATTGATCTGCATTCCCCATGGACTGATCAAAAGCAACTTATTTTAATGTAACAGTATTTCAGGACCACAGTGGTATGAAGTCATGAACACAAAAATAGATTATAACAATTCCTAAAGGTAATAAAGCCAAACAAGACTGAAAAGCCAGCATCTGCTTTCACAACATAAAAAAGTCATAAAAAAAAGAAGTGTTAAAGAACTAGGAATATAAAAACGTGGGACACAAGAAATAGAAGGTAAAATCAACAGGGACAATGTGTTCTGATGCCATACTTCACTACAAATGCATCACACCAAACTAAGAAATCCCTCCAGGGATTCCTGTGGGACTGTTTCTTTTTCCTGACTATAGAACTACAATACTGGATTTCTGAGATGTATACACAACCTGAACATCATATGCCAAGAACTTCAGCTTGATTTGGGGTAGCACAATTTCAATCTGATAACTGCTCAGAACAGTTTTCAAAACACGTGTCTTTCTTCCACACAGAAGGCTATGACATAGGCTAAAAATAGGGAGCCATGGAAAAGAATGGTGCATTACTTTGGCACTTACATTTCCCAAATGTCCTCTGGTAGGTTAGCTGGAATCTCGGTTAAGCCCCTTCCTCGACAATCCACTACATTGTTGCTGCAGGTGCAGGCAGATGGGCAAGTGATGGAACTGGCACTGCATGACGGAGGTTCAGACTGGGGACCTGAGACATAATGAAAACATTAAACATTAGCTTTCAGAAATGACTGCCTGAGATTTTAACAACAAAATACATCAGCCTCTGAGTTTCCCAGATCCTTTTACTATATGAAGTAATAATTTATTTGGGTTCAGTGAATATAATGTGCTACAAATCAATTGCAGAGAAAATGTGTAAAAGATTACTGTGTTCTTACTCTTACTCAGTTTCCACTCTATCAATCTCTTTCCTTCTTGAACAGTTCTTTGGTCCCCTCCATGATCAGCCATATCAATTTATTCAAATATTTAAAAAGAAATAAGCCTTAAGATCTAGCAGTATTTCGAAAAGTTATCTTTGCTTAGAAGTTTCCATTACACAAACAGTCCTTGAATATTTTCACATACTGAAATAGTCATCAACGATGACTTGTGTTTTTGAAATGAGGTAACTTGTTATGACATAAAGACTGGAAATATAAAGCTATTTTTTTTCAGGATTAGACAATGCAGTTAATGGAAATACAAAAAGAATTTAGAAAAATGTGAGTTTAGACTTTCAAATCCTTCCTTAATATAGTAATTCCACTGAAAGACAAGAAGTTACTTACAGAGCAAAGTTCTATCATGAGGGCACTGCTCTACACTCATTCTAGTGAATTCATTAGATTCAGGTTTAGTTGTAAGTAAGTTTTTTGAAATTAGCAATTATGTCATTTTTACTCAAAGAGTTATGATTCTTACATTTAAATTTTGGTATATACATACACTTAAACACAGATAAATTTGTTTTGCTACACTAATTGAGGTTATGAAGATGTAACAGTTATTGACTTGTTTATGATGAGTCATATTTCCAACAGAAGAAACCTCAAGTATCTTTTTGACCAGAGAGCCGGGGGTTAATATCGTCAAGAAGTGATAAAATCATAATACAAACAAGATGGGTATTTTTCTAGATTACAGTAGATTATAATCACAAAACTTATTTGGTCTTTTGGTTGGAAAAATTAAAACATCATAGTTGTCAAATCATATAAATATAAAAACTTGGAGAATAATACGCAAAGTTGTATAGTGTTGGGGTTTTTCTTGGAAAAGATGCATGACTGTTAATGATTGACTTTCATAAATTATAAATGCAGTGACAAAAAGTCCAAAAATATTTGTATCAATCTACAATCAAATATCATTACAACAATTAAACTTCTATAACAATTATACATTTTCTCTCTTAATTTATGCCTACATACCCTCTGGTTTGGCCCTTAACTACGCACAGCAAAGTCAGCTCATATAGGCTGCTCCTATTTTCAAAGACTTGTAAACAGCAATGAAAAGTCAACATCAGAAAGACATTCAGTGGCATCTCTAAGTATCATTTTGAAAGGCAGATACAGATTGAGATGTCAGCTGAATACTACAGGCTGACTTTACACTTGCAGAGGAAGCCCTCCTGCTTTTCCTCCTGAAAAGCAAAAGACAATTATAGCAAAATCATGCCTTCCATTATAAAAGGTATTGAATTCTGCTGTGAATTAATTTCTCTTTGTCTGAATTTTCCTTATTTTAAGCAAGTGGTAAGCCCCTTTAAATATTATTTTGCAGCCAGAGATGACAGAACTGCTTTATATTAAAAGATACTGTCAAGTTGCCGGATAAGATCACCATTTCAACTGTGTACGAAATGTTGCCAAAACAAAGTATTGGGTTTGAATTATTTTTTATTGAGTCATCAACTGACGTTCTGTCAGGACAGCAGGAGAAAAATGTGGGTTTCATAGGACTGTGTTTTAAATACAACTTTTATTGATGTTAATCAGAGCTGTGAGTAAGTGTATTTTGGCAGTCCAGACCTCAGAACTCTAATTCAGACACCCAGAAATTAGATTTTGGGATGTAATGATCATCTTGAAAAAATGGATCTCACAGGAGACTTGTGGCATGGGTAGGAATCAAATTCCTTCTTCATGAGACTGGGCAGCTGTTTTTATCATGAGATGATCCTAATGATCCCTTCTCTTTGCTAAAATATCTTGTTTTGTATATAGCTCAGTTTCCAACTTCTGTGACAGTTGCAGGTAAGGAGCTGACCAGCAACAGGCAACACAGAGCTGGTTTCAGTACTTCAGCAACTTCACTCTACAGAATCAACTGAGCAAAAATCTACGGTAAAAAAATAATTCAATAATGTAATTACAATCTGAATACGAATGTGCATGGCACAAGGAATCAAATTCTTATTTATCAGGCAACCTGAAGTTTGGCTTGTTACAGTTTCAAAATCTTACTAGACATTGTCTTAACATAATCTATACACAGGACCATATGTGTAACACAGTATTTTAAGTTCTAGCTATTTGAATTAAACAAACAAAAAAATCTTCACTAATTGTACATGTACATGCATAACAGGCAGGACAAGCAGCTCTCCTGGGTCTGTCTTGTGGCTATAGAGATGCAGGGCAGACATAACATCATTGTGAATTAACAGAACTCCTTCAAAATTAATAGAACTGTGCAACATATCACCATCAGCACTGCCAGCTCTGTCTTTCACAGCGTCTAAGGTTTCTGTAAGATTTTAGCTGTGACTACTTCCAAAGGTAGTTTATATTCCCTCAAAATGCACACAGGCCTTCTTCGCATAAGAACAACAGGTTTGTTCATACAGCTTGAGCACATACGTTTTATATTTTCTCCTTGTCTTCCTACCTTGTGCTGCCGTGGTCATAACAAAACAAAGAGTGAGGGAAGTGCAAACAAGCTATTGTAAGCTTTTAGGTACAGGGAGAAATTACCAAACTGGGAAGAAACACTTCAGAGCAGCCCCAGCTCTCTGGGAGGTGAAAAGAAAGCTGGCACCAAGGTCAGATCTACCATCATACATCTGATGTGCTTTCTGAACAGGTTTTGCAGCAAAGGGAAAATGCATTTTGCAGTTATAAATCTGCAACATATTGCTGTGGGTTAGAGAAGCAGTAACACACTCCCTTTTCATTAGGGCACAAGATCAAAAAAACTGACATATTCCCAGTTGGATTCTGTTCCTGATTCTGCTGCATCTAAATCAACAGTAGAAGACTCAGTGGAACTCAACTCATCACTCCCCATTTTGTGTGACACAGAATTGCAAGGTGCTCCCCACTAAAGGAATGGTTTGAAAGGATAGTTATATAAAGCACTCTGAACAGAGAGAAAAGACAGAAACACCAGTCTTACTTGCACAAAAACCAGGTAGCAGCAGCAATAAGGTGAAAATTAATATCACACTACAGTTGAATACCATGGAACTTTTGAGCAACTTTTTGAATGGAAAGACCAAAATGTCAATCAGGCCATCGTTTTTGCTGCCCACTAAGCCTTTTGAATCACCTCCAAACAAAAACTTGATATATAATAGACCAAAGCCAGTAAGAGCCCTTTTATTTATCCTCAATTCAGACCAAAAATTCAATTCAGACATGTGATTTTCCACTACAAACAAGGAACTTTTAGATGAACAGAGTTTTGATTTATGGCTAGTGAGGAAAACAATCAGTTAGATAACCAGTGAGGTGTATGACATCAATATATTTAGGGAAAGCAGTATAATATCTTCATTCTTAAAGCAGATGCAACAGGACTGGGATGAAAAAAATAACAGCTCACACTGAATGTAAAAGAAAAAGTAAAGAAAGAGACTATGTTTGAGCAGATTATTTTCCACATGTAACGAGAGATCAGTTTTCTAATTTCACTTAAAATAGTATAGAAAAAGGACTATTTAAAAATACTTAATCTCTCATTATATCTTGAATTCTCCTTGTTCCCCACAATACCTGGTATTCCTCCCACCTTTGACTGACATTTTCTGCTTAGAATAAAAAGACTTTTGGTTCCAAGCTGAATACAGACCTTTATATTCAGTGAATTTTTTTCTCCTTCATGAAAAAAGCAGATTTAGACTGTAGATTTCTGAAGTCTTCAAAGAAATAAAAAGTTTTTGTTCATAAATTGCTATCATTATTATAAAATACTTTTCCTTATGTTTTCCTTGCAAAGAATAAAATATTATATTACACATGCATGCTCAACAGGCATCTAGCACATATTCCATCAGCTCTCACACAAACAGTCATCTGTTAAGGTAAAGTTTTCTGAATAATGCTATAAACAGAATTTCAAATCTGATTTGGATGTAACTGCTTCAATTGAGTGATGATTTATTGTTAGACACGTAGCAGATCTAAAGAATTAAAGGACAAAACAGTCCAAGAGATTTTAATCAATATAATGTTTGTATAGTTGTGAAGAGCTGGCATGGAAAGGACTGCTCAAGAAAATAAGTCTAAGTAGACTATGGAAATTAAAGTTCTTAAAATTTGGGTATGATTTTCTAAGGTATGCAGAGTATAAACATACAAATGGATCAAGGACTGCAAGGCACTACAGTCTCTGAAGAAGGATAGTTGAAATTTAAAAATTAATTTTCCTTTTGCTGCCAATAACTTATTCAAAAGGCACAGGAAATACAAAAGTATTCCAGGATTCCTGTTTGCATTCTCTGTAAGTTCACTCAGCTCCTTACAGCATGGATGCAACAAAATGGGTGCTGGCCACAGAGAAGCCAGCTGCATTTATATTATTTCCCTTCTGAAGTTGTTCTTACTATGTGTCATCACTTGCCATTTCAGACTTTGTTATACAGCAGCACTAGTTCACCATGTTAATTACATTCTTCTTTAAGAGATAAAAATCATCAACTCTCTTATGCATTTTGCTATTGAAAAAACAACACTAACAAAATGTGGAAACCAGGATAGGAACACGATTAACAAAAATTACTGTGCTTTTTGGGCCTGATGTAATGAATGTCAGCCTCAATGATTAGGGTAGTTAATATCTGGCATGTGATTAGCCTGCACAGCTTAATTGCTACAGTTTCAGACTAGGGGTTAGGGAGATAGAGGAGACAGGGGAGAGCCTTGGGACCCAGCAGTTTACATAGGAATTAAGTGCTTTTGTCAAATAACCATCTCATTG